CGAAAGCGGGTTACCTCACCTACCTGGGGTCCCCCACCTTCATGTAAACAGGCCCTTAGACTTCTCGTTTTTTGTTCTTAATATTTAGCTGCATGATTAGATCTCTTTTCTAGAGATCCAACGTTGACAAGCAATAGGATCTTCGTCCACGGTTTTTGCAGTAAATTTCTTTAACAAAAATGAAGTATGAAAAACTTTTTAAGGCTTAAAGTTTTTTTTTTATGTTGTCCCTTTACAAGCTGTTTATTTGTAAATGTCAAGTTACACAGTGCATAAGGAAATGTACCGAAGCTTATTAAATTTTTTCTCCGAAAAAGGGGCTTATTTGACGGCGGCGCTTAAAACCATAGTAATACCTCTTAGTACCGTATTTACGCGAATAAGCGCCGCGACACTTATTAACCCCCCAAATGCGGTGCTCATTTGAGGGCGGCGCTTATTTGAGTAATTACTGTAATTTGCAATTTCAGGGTTTATTACATTTAGGGTAAATTGTTATTACATTTAGGACTTTATTACATGTAGGGTCGTTTATTACATTTAGGCCTTCTAAGTCTTTGCTCGAGATAGAGGATTTTTAAAAGTCACCTGGCTGGTATAATTAACCAGTTGTTAGAGGGGCAGGGTGCCGTGATCTCGGATATAGGTACGGATATGGCCTCACGGTAAATGTCAGTAAACAATTAAGAATGCATGAATGAATGAAAGAATGAATGAATTTTGTTGCAAAATTGATTTCTTAACTGTTAGAACCTAAACTTCAGTTCTAGAAATCAAAACTAATATGTGTGCTGAATTCTTCGGTAGCCTTTGTTCTTTGCAAACAATTATTCTTTCTCAGAGGAGAGGGGTAAATTAGGCTAGGAATTAGTTTTACTCTTTTTACTTTTAATTGCCTTTTCAGAAAACTGAGTCACCCTCACATTGTTAAATTTTATGGCACTTCACTGCTGCTGGAACAAGATTCCGTGAGAATTATCCTGGTTTTAGAATGTTGCAAAGGAAACCTACAGAACCACATCTTTAAAAACCACCACTTAATTCCTGGGAAATCAAGAAGCGCTGATGCCATAAGAAACGCTCGTCAATGGGTCGAAGAAATCACTGATGCTCTGGCGTACATTCATGAACAGGGAATAGTCCACAGAGACCTCAAGCTTGAAAACGTCTTGGTATAATGCAAAGTGTTGTTATAGCTCTTTAATTAACAAGCTAAGTAGAGGACAGCGATATACACAATATATATATGAGTCAGGACAAATTAGTTGTGTTTAGACTTAATCTGTCGTGCTTTTGTCTTTGTTAAGAGCCTGTCTGATATTATATTGAGATAAAAAGCATTTCGCAATAAGAGATTAACATTTAGACATCAAAGAACACATATTAAATCTACGGACCACTTTCGGTTGCAAAAGTTTTCGACATTGACTCTGATTTTTAACTTCTCTAACGATTTGTGGGTGAGTTATTTTACAAGCATGTTTCAAGTCATGAGTCAGTTTGAAAACAACAGGAAAGTGCGAAAATGGCCTTCAGAAAGTTTTGATCATCTTTCATGTTAAATAATTTTTGCAAGGCTGACAGAGGTTGGCATGGGTCCCCCAGACTCAGTGCTTCTCAAGTGTAACATACGATAGTGTTCTTAGCCAGGCAGTGTTCCTAGCGTGCTCAACTGTACGCTGATATGCTGGGAAGGTATGGTTAAGAATAAAACATATTCTGGCTTACTATTAATGATAATGAGCGACGTTTTAAGGCATTTCACTACGAAAAATTCAATAAGGCACTGCTTAGAGTTGATTTTAGTATAAAATAATACAAGATTTAAGAACATGTGTGGTAGTTAAATAGTGAAATCCTACTTTAATTTTAGTTTCCTTTTTCTTTAAAGCTGTCAGAGGAAAACTCAGTGAAAGTTACAGATGTTGGCATATCTATAGCAGTAGCAGACATTACTGGTACCATCGCTGGAAGCCCTGCCTACATCGCACCAGAAGTGTTCCACTCTAAGGTGTATGACAGCAAAGCAGACATCTACAGTCTTGGTATAATGTTGTGGGAGATCTGGTACGGAAAGCAGGCGTTTTCAAAAATTGTATCCTTGAACCTTCACGATTTCTTCGGGGAGGTGGATAGCGGGTGTCGTCCAGAACTTTTAAAAGATCACGTGGATCCTCCTCCTTGTTGGGAAGAACTAATGAAGGCTTGTTGGGAGGCGATGCCAGAGAAGCGTCCTTCAGCTAAGCAATGCCATGACCGAGTTTTAGATTTTTTTTGAGGACTGATAAAAATGACGTCAAACGTTTTTGCTGTTGTAAATGATGCATAAAATCAAATTAAATAAAGTTAAAATAACAAGTACTACTAGCTAGAAAACCCGCTCAGAAAACTATTCTAAGCCACGTACTCCTCGAAAATCCAAGGCCGCTCTTT